GTTTTAAGAGAAAAAGAAAATGTGACTTATTCTGTGTCACTTGCTCAAAATTAAAATGAGCTGGGAAGGGGATTTCTTTTATGTGTTTGTATCTCTCTTGACAGAGTCTGAATATGTATGCTGATGTGAAGATTATTCTGAGTTGATCACTGGTTGTGAAAGCTCCTCTGTGAGAAACAACTACCTCAGTGGGCTGGTGTGTCGAATCACCTTCAAAAAGACTTCCGCTTGCTGTTCTGATGACAACTTGTGTTGTCACATGTCCTCTTGGACAAGTCTGAGGGTTTGTGTCTCTATTCTGTATATATATGTATATATCTTGGTCAAATTCTTCACTTTCTAGTTCGCATATTTTGGTCTCAGAAAATCAGTGCTGTTCGGAGGCTGGTTCTCGTCTGTCGCAACTCCGTTCATAGTGGTTGCATTTCTGCTCCTATTTATGTGACTGCTGCATGAGTCTGATTGTGTTTATATACGATTAGGTCTAGGTTCTTGTAATACTGACATTTCCTGTCTTGTGTTTTTTAAATCTCACGGGTTGTCTTTATGTTAGGTTTTTCCTAGCTGGTCAAGATCCTTCCTTTTGGTTTTGTCGTTTTCAACTATTTCGGTTTGAATCCTGTGTTATTGAGAAACTGGTTCCTTCCAGTTAGTTGGAAATGAGTGTTATGTAGGTGTTGGCCCATATATCTCCATGATATCTTGTTGGGCTCTCTTAAAGGGAAACAAGAGGCTCTAAGACGGTTCGAAAAAGAAGATTCTCGAGTGGCGGTTTACTTTTCCGAAAATCGAGGAAAGTGGGGGGAAAATGAACTGGTCATGCCGCTGGCTGTCTTATCACGAGTAACTGTTGGTTTTCCCTATTTCAACCCTAGTTTTTCTCTCTCTCCTACAGTTTATATTTATCTCTTGGTTCTCTGCTTTTCTCTCGTTTCTGGATTTCGTTTTCCTTGTGATTTGCAGAAATCATCATGACTAAGTCACCAGGAAAAGCTACTAACACCGCTGAAAATCCATCTCCGGTCAAATCAAAGAGGGCTGGTGCATCTGACAAGGCTGGTGGTTCAAAATCCAAGAAACAGAAGTGTACTGCAATTGTAAAGGTTAAATCGAAGGTGGTTCTGTTGACTCAGCGTCTTCGAACCAGGGGTCTAAACCCTCTCGCAAATCCAACAACTATCTCAGCGCCTCTCATTGTTGAAGACGACAGTGGTGACTCTGTCTCGGGAAACAGAGATTCTTTGACTCATCAGGGGTCAGATCTGGCTGCTAGAACGGGTGCTGGTGTCTCAGGAACTGCAAAAGGTCGACATGCATTCCATTTGGAAGAAATGGTTGATGATCCTGAGGATGTGAGGCTAGCCTTCGTGAAGAGATATGA